CGTCCGGTGAAGCCGGGCGCCGTGTCTGGGAGCTGTCGGAGTGGGAGCATGAAAAGGTCATGACAGGTGGCCGTGGGCGAGGAGGGGTGGGGGAGACCTGCGGAAGGAGACCAGTGGCCTCCCCTGTTTCCGAGGATCTTAGGCCAGCCCCCATGCTCTCCTTCTCTGGAGGTGCAGTCGCTGAGCGCCACCGTGCGAGGGGCGCTGGGCGCCACCGTGCAAGGGGCATCGGGCCCAACCCAGCAGCCCAGGCTCCTGGTCACTTGAGCACTGCTAGACGGACGTGACGTTCAGTTACGATCCCTTTTCGTGGTCATCCACTACAGAACTCAGCCATGCTAAATTCTGAAATAGAAACCAAAAAGGGAAAAAAAGTCAACTTTTAAAAAGGCTTGGATTTATTTGGGGTGAAGTGTTTCTTTTGGAAAAATACAGAAAAGGGAAGGACACGGTCCCGCCAGCCACAGCTGACCACCGACCGGTTCGGAGCGTGTTCTTCTCACCTCTTTTCTACAGATTTTTTTTGTCCTTTTTTTCACGACACGTAAGAATTTTTCCAAGTCAAAGCTTTCCTCACACATAATTCTTCATGGTCCTGCTGTGTTCCCTCATGGCTGGATTAACGAGTCCTCGGTGGTTTGGCCGTTTAAGTTGGAGAAAAGTAAACTTAACAAAAGCCAGCTTCCCTTGTCTCTGAAACGTGTGCTGATGACTTGGACCCCTTACAGCCGGCGCCCGGTGACAGTCAGCAGTGGGAGGAGCAGCGCTGTGACGCTGCGGGACGAGTCAGCAGTGCCTCTGCCTTTCTCTCGGGGCTTCACACGAGAACTTTAGCCAGGGAGCTTGGAACCGTGCTCAGTGGTCCAGAGATGATGATGATGATGATGATGACGATGATGATGATGATATTGATAGGATTTCATGCTCCAGTTTCCCATGTGTGAACAAAAACAAGTGTGCATGTATTGTCACACTTGAACGTCTGTTCCGTGTTGAAGACTGAGAGAGGAGACTGAGGGCGGGGCGGGCAGGTTCCTCGCCAGGTCCTCTCCGCTCAGCGGAAGGAGTCTGAGCGGAGCGGAGCACCGTGTTTGGGGACCGGAGAGCTGTGGGCATGGAAACGGCTCTTCCACTTAAAAGCTCTCCAGCCTTCGACAAGCACCTCCCCTCTCCTGGGGCAAGTTACGGAAAACCCCCAGCACGGTTCTGGCAGAGGAGCGTCGTGGCCGGGAGGACACGCTCTGGAACCAGACTGCCTCGCTTTCTCAGATTCCAGCTTTGCCACTTTTTTAGCTGTGTGATCTTGGGCAAGTTCCTTGACCTCCCTGTGTTTCCTTCTGTTTCCTCATCTGTAAAATAGGCATAAACATAGTGACCAACTTGGTAAGGCTGTGAGACTTGAACTGATGCCCACAAAGGATCTCTAACCATGCTGGCACACAGTTGGTGCCAGTTACCGTTCACTTCTCTTTGCCCTGGCCTGGCCTCGAGTGTGGCGCCAGCCTCCTGACTGGTCTCCTCTCCGCCAGGCTGCCTCCTCCTCCCAGCCAGAAGAATGCCTCAGACTCCCGGGTCAGGGGCAGAAGAGGGCTCTGTTTGTTTCCAGGCTGGATTCTGTGGACTCTCGGTAGCAGTGGGGCCTGGGTGTGCTCAGGAACCTGGGCTCCTGCTGTGGACTGCTCGGCCAGCCCCCTGAACCAGAGGCGGGGGGCCGCCACTTCTCAGGCAAGAGCAAGTAGGGTCCTGGGGGGCCATGTGCCCTGCTTTAAGAAGCTGAGACTTACACGCATCTCAAGTAGGATGAGATTATTTAATGTACAAAAGCTGTTTTCCCATCAGGACAGATTCCCCCACAGGCTCCTTTAAACAGTGACTCCTCTAGGCAGGCAAGTGTTTTACAGATCATTAACTATTTGACTGAAAGCCTGCAGGGCAGAGAAACTTAAAACTAAAGTGTTGAGGGCCCCTGCCAATTACAGATCAATCCAAAATGAAGATAAAGTATCTCTGGAACTAGAAGTCAGTGGGGAATGTGATTTGATTCAGAAAAAATCTGATTTACGCGCAACTTTTTTGGAACACACCAATCGTTTAAATGGCGTTCCACCTGCCCGCCTATCTCAAACCTAGTGCATCCATCTCCCCCGTCTTCACTCCCACACCCCAGACTTGGGGTTCTCTGCGCACAGTGCCTGCACCGTCACCCCGGGAAAGGGCGTCATTGGGAAAGTGTTCCTTCGGTCGTGCGGAGCTCAGGCAATTGATGTAGAGATACAGCCCGTAATTGATGAACTATACAGTAACAATTTGCAGATAAAAATAATAGAAGTTAAAGTGTACTTTACGTGATAAAAGAAAGATGAAAGAGGACGAGAGTCTGTTACATCTGAGATGGCTACAAAAGTCCTGCTTTGTGGAGTAGGCTCTGTTGAAAAGATTGATGCAACGGGGAGTGACCTTGGCTTGGAGCAGGAGCTGGTGATGTATGTATGAGCATCCCTCTGCTAAATGGACCCAGATTTGTAGCACTAATATACATGGGAGCCCAGAACCAAACTCAGTACAGCAATAAATCAACAGCCACTTTGGGTGTCATTTCTGGTTTATATTCCACTGTTGTTCTATCACTTTAATTCATGTCACTATCATCTTTTCATCTGGAACAGTTTTATATAATTTTCCAGTGGAGTTACCTGACAAATCCTATCAAATTAACAAGGTACATTAACAATATTGACTGACTACGGCTTCAGGAGTCGCAGGGCCGTAGAACAAAATTTTAAAACCGTGTCTCTCTGGTGATGATTTTTTTTCCCCTCTCTCGCCGAGAAAGAAATGTGGGCAGGATCTATTCCACATAAGAGATATGCACATTTATTTTGCTCTGCTCTTTCTGACTTTTATAAATGTCAAAATAAGAAGCGGAAAGAGAGGGAACCAAAAAAAAAAAAAAAACCCACTTGCTACCAACAACCATGGCGTAAGTAATTTTCCTCTTTCAGGGAACTATAGAAATGTCCAGACCTTTATCAATTAATGACCAAATTGGAGGGAAGAGTGTAACTGGGTGGTCGTAATCTATTTTAAGTGAAATGTAATAAAACTGGTCTCCTGATACATTCTCGCCCTCCTGAAATCGTCTAGACCTGAATGTCCAGAGTCAACTGGACTTATGACATTATGCCTAATTGAAATATGGTGCTCCTGAAATATGTCTAATGACAAATTCCAGCATTCAATTAATAAAAAAATACCAATTGTTCTTCTTTTCCAAAGACCACGGAGTAAGGACCAGGGTTAAGTAACCGCACCGCCTCACCTCCTCCGCGTAGTCAGTCCGGCATCTCCTGCCTTTGTCTGGCCGTGCGGGCATCCCTTTATTCATACCACACACAGTAGAACCAAGTGACGTGTGCGGCACACCTGATCACTAGAATTTTGTTTGTACGTGTTTTCTCTTTTAATTTTAAATTTGCTCACTGACTGTGGTTATTGTGGGGGCATTGTGTTTTTGTTGTTGCTTTAAAGATTTTATTTATTTTTAGAGACGGGGGAAGGAGGGAGGAAAAGAAGAAGAGAAAAATCAATGTATTTGAGTTGCTTCCCACACGCCCCCAACTGGGGACCTGGCCCGCAACCCAGGCATGTGCCCTGACTGGGAATCCAACCAGCGACCTTTGGGTGCGCAGGCCGGCACTCGATCCACTGAGCCACACCAGCCAGGGCTGCTGCTGTTGTTTTAATTAAGCTGTTTCTTTTATCTGCTTTTTCTTCTGGCCTACTAAGTTCTCCTACCTCGTATTGAAAAATTTCTAAGGATGATCCATAGAACGAACTATATTAACTCTGATTGTCTTTTCTGTTACAGTATGTGCATTCGATTGTTTTATTTCTTATACCTCTACTTCATTTTGCTCTTTTCACTTTGACCCTGACCTTTAAACTATGGCCTGAAAATTAATTACTTTCAAGATTCCATCTGGGGCCCACTCTAGAAGGCGTATTGAAGGTTTTTGTCTCACTTCGTGAACAGAAATCCTCAATTTTCAGCAGAAGAGAAAAAAGAGAGCATCTAGCCGGGGACCTGTGTGTCGGGCTGAGCACGCACCGCCCCGGGGACACGGGGACAGCAGCGCGGTGCCCCGGCACGGGCGTCCCAGGCCCCCTCCCTGCTGGGCGCTACCTTTGTTCCCCGGGCACCTTTGCTCCCAGTCACTGTGCCGTGTGTCAGTCTTTCAGAGTCCCGAAAAGGAAGCCTGATCGCCAGCATGCGGCATCCCGTTGCAGAGTCCTGGTATAAAGTCTCTGCCGCGCACGGCTCACACCCACTGCCGTCTCCCCCTCCGTGGAGAAGTGACCTCCCCAGCCGGAAGCCAGGCCCCGGGACTTCAGCGCCGGAGGTTTTGTGTGAAGGACTCTTTGATCCTCCAGTGGCCTCCTTTAAATATAGCTCGGGTTATTATTTAATGTCAGAGAAGGGAAGACAGGTTTTTCCTATTTTTAGTTTGTAAGATTTTTCCAGATCAGAAACTCTTCGTTGGTAGCTTTGCTTTTTAGGCATAGGTGGCATTACAGATTTACCTGTCTGACACAGATCTTGTTCTAAAGCAGCAACAACAAAAAAGACCTCTGACCATAATTGGCTTTTAAATGAACCTTATAGTTTATTTAATTATAATATAACAGTACTGTAGGATTAACACAATGTAGGTAAACTCTATATTGTATCTCTGTTATGTCTAAGAGGTGTATTTCTTAATATTTTTCTGGTTGTTCACCCCCTGACCTCACCCGCCCAGGAAACCAGACTGTGTGACTTCTGCGTGCCATTTGGAGTCCTCTTATGTCGCTTTTAAGCCACAGCATTCCCCCAAGCCCTGAGAAAGAGCTGATGTTCATCCGATTTATGATTTACAAAGTAGGTCAAATGATTACACTGAAATCACTTACACCTTCCACTTCTTGTGGCTTCTTTTTTTGTCCTCCCCTCGGCCTTACAGGTATCTCTGGAGACAAAGTAGAGATAGACCCTGTTACGAATCAGAAAGCCAGCACTAAGTTTTGGATTAAGCAGAAACCCATCTCAATCGATTCTGACCTGCTCTGTGCCTGTGACCTTGCGGAAGAAAAAAGCCCCAGTGAGTAGTCCCTTTTATTTATGTCTCCTTTCTCTCTCCCCCCTCTCCCCTTCTGTGTGCTGGGTGCCAAGAGAATATATTACCACCGTGTCCTTTTTTCCTTGGGTCTGTTTAATTCATTACCAGAAATTTCTTTTAATCAAAGGGGATTGTATTGTGGTGCCCAGAGCCTGACATGGGGCCCCATCCTGCTCAGTCTTGATGGCAGCAGAGGACCTCACAGCTCCTGACCCCAGCAGCCTCCCCGGGGGGTCGGGAGGGGGGAAGGGGGGGAGTGCTGCTGAGAATTTGCAGCCACCAGAGCCCTCACTTCACTCTGAGCTCCCTTCCTCCTCCCTCTTGTGGGGCTCGGCCAGTGAGACCCGGACCTGCCTTCCTTCCGCGCCAGACCGAGGGACGCTGGGGGGTTTCCCGTGCCGGCCGAAGACCAGATTTAGACATGCATCCTGCCGGAAGTGTCACCACCCTCTGGATTACTGGCAGTTGCTCCACCTGCCAGCTCGTAATTAAACTCCGCCTGGTCCTGCAGAGGAGGTCCCTGCAGATCGGCAGTCCTCTGCTTCAGTTACGAAAGTAGACACAGTCTGGTCATATATTTTGGCATATCATATTTTTGCAGTTAAGTAATGGAGTGTAGTGGTTAGATCAATCATTTTTAGGACTTCAGTCACATCGAGGGAGAGGAAGGACACAGATCACACTGAAATTCCTCCGTGGAAGAAGAAAGTTTGAACTGTCTAAGGACCCGTCAGTGAGCTAGAGAAGGCTGTGAGGCGGTGGTTCTCAGGGTTGGGTTCGTATCAGCACTGCCTGCGGCGTTCATTGAACATGCAGCTGCCCCCGCCCGGCCCAGTAGATTCTGATTTGGTAACTTCGAGTCCAACTTGAGCATCTAATTTTTCTTAATCTGTTTTTTTTTCCATTGTCCACTAATCGAGAACAAATGTTATAAGGAATGATAAAAGGTGTAAAGGCCAGCACGTGTTCAGAATATGGTTTAAGTTTTTGCGATCGTATTGACTGAACGGGGCCTAAAGGAGCACAGAGCCCCAGAAGGAGGCCTGCAGACGGGGCACAGGCCACACTGGCAAGGAGGGAGAGCCTGGTGATACAGGGGAAAAGAGGAAGGCCAAGCCCACCCACCTTCCCACCACTCCGGTCAGCCCAGTGAGGCCTCCACTCCACGAGGGCTGCCGGAAGGGGCCGGCGAGACGCTGGCCCGCTGCCCTGGGCCCCTTGCCCCAAGGCTGCCCGACTCCCTCGCCTTGAGATGAACACCTTCTTCCTAATCTCTCTCACTCCAGCTTGTTGGTCAATAAAGATGTCATTGTTCTAGCATCCTTCTTCCCAAGAACTCAGGATGCATTGAAAAGTAACATCTTATAAATTCTCCAAGTGTCTGAGAAATGGAAGACAGCCGCATACACGTTGGATACAGGGAGAAGCTGGAGTGGGAAGGGTAGGGGAAGAACCAGAAGCAGTATTCAGGTTTCCCGTGCACTCACCCCCACTCGCTGTGCCAAGGAAGGCTGTGATTCGGGCCCTGGAAGGTGTGGGGAGTGAAGGAATGGCGCGCCGCCGCCACCTCCCAGGGGTCATTCACTCACGAAGTGAAGACGTCTCCTGAGTGAGGCCAGGTTCCAAGCATTGGCGCTCCAGAGCGGACGTGGGCCCTACCATTTCCGATCTACCGGGCGGTTCTGTGTGAAACCTCACCGCGGGTCTTACAGAGGCCTCCCCCTCTCGTACTCTGGTCCAGAGACCCAGGACTTGTGACGCTTTCCTGGACAAAGAAGCACACTGCCGCAGGAAGGCCCTGCCTCAGCCCCTGGCGCCTGCCGGTGTGCCTTCCAGACCGTCTTGCTCAGGGCTCCGGGCTCTCGGGGGACCTCACGGGCGTGCGTCCGTGCACGTGCGCACGGCGGGGGGCAGAGTGGGGCATTTAAGCCTCCCCTCCAACCAAAGGAGCTTTACTTTCTTCTGGTTGGGGATTCTGCGTTCAAAAAGTCAACTGGTAAAAAACGATTTTTGAATCCTCTTTTATTTTTCATTTACAGTTGACATACAGTATTAGTTTCAGGTGTACACCCCAGTGATTAGACATTACATAACTTACTAAGTGTAATCATCCTGGTAAATCGTGTACCCTCTGACACCAGACACAGTTATTAGAATGTTACTGACTGTATTCCCTGTGCCGTAGTTCTTAATCTGTTCGCCTTTCTCACCCACACCCCTAACCTCCCTCCCATCTGGCAGCCGTCAGAATGCTCTGTGTCTGCAAGTCTGTTTCTGTTCTGCTTGTTTCTTTATTTTGGGTTTTAGATTCAATTGTTGATAGATACGTATTTTTTGCCAACTTATTATTCATATTTTTTACCTTTTTTTTCTTTCTTCTTAAAGAAGACCCTTTAACATTTCATGTAATACTGGCTTGGTGGTGATGAACTCCTGTAGGTTTTTCTTGTCTGGGAAGCTCTTCATCTGTCCTTTGATTCTAAATGGTAGCTTTGCTGGGTAGAGTCATCTTGGTTGGAGGTCCTTCCTTTTCATCACTTTGAATATTTTTTGCCGGTCCCTTCTAGCCTGCAAAGTTTCCGCTGAGAAATTCACTGACAGTGTTATGGGAACTCACTTGTAGGTAACCACCTGCTTTTCTCTTGCTGCCTTTAAGATTCTCTTTTTGTCTTTAGCCTTTTCCATTTTAGTTATGATTTGTCTTGGTGTGGGCCTCTTTGGGTTCTTCTTGTTTGGAACTCTCTGGCTTCCTGGACTTTCCTGTCTATTTCCTTCGACAGATTAGGGTAGTTTTCTGTCATTGTTTTTTCAAATAGGTTTTCACTCTGTTGCTCTCTTCTCCTTCCGGCACTCCCATGATGTGAACATTGGTGCACTTGAAGTTGTCCCGGAGGCTCCTTACACTATCTTCATTTTTTTGGACTTTTTTCTTTGTGATGTTCTGATTGGGTTGGGTTTTTGTTGTTGTTTGTTTGCTTGCTTGCTTCCTTATATTCCAAATCACTAAACAAATTCTTGAGAGTTACAGGCTTACAGAATGAAATTCAGACTCCTCAACGTAGCCTTTACAGACACTGACCACCCCAGGCTCATAGCCCACAACCTCCCTTTCTGAACTTGGCTGTGAACTGCTTGTATACAACATGCCTCAAATTCTGTGCTTCTGCCTGGAATACACCTTCGCCCTGGTCGTCTAACTTATGGACACTTCCATTTTCCTGTGCCCAGTCACCCCTTTTTCAAGATCCAGCTCGTGTGTCAAGCCCCCCTCTGTAACTGTGCCCCCAGGAGTTTGCACACAGTGCCGTATTTATCTGTTTGGGGTTTGCCCCTTGCCCCTACCCCATCTCCATGCCAAACTCATCGACCAAGGACCTGGTTTCTATAGCACAGTGCTGCCTCGAAATTGAACCTAATGAAGCAGAATTTAGAAACCCAAAGTTACTCAGCATAATTTATGTTGTAAAGTGCCCAAACAAAGATGTATTAAATGAATCAGCTTGATGCTGGTTTTTTTTTTTTTTATGATTTCCAGTATCTTCATCAAATTAATTCAGTGAGTTAATCTATAAAAAGTTCATCTTCAAGACCATCATCAGACCACAGAATTAATCTACTGAGCTGCTTCTTTTTTTTTTTTTTAGGATTAATGGTAACCTTTTTATCTTCTGTGTCTGTTGAACCTTAGAAAAAAGTTATTTTAACAGCACTAAAAGAAATGAAAGTCACTATATTTCATAAGTTTAGCCTGTGATTTTTATCAGCATAGTGATGTATGTTTGTAGCTGCGTTTACATCAAAAATTATTCTTGGGGCCTTCTTGAATGAATTATGGCAAAGAAAGAGAGTCTAGAAGTAGATAAGGTTTTTGATTTCTGCAATATATTTCCTTTTTCATGTTTTTATCTCGCGTAACACAAGTGTCTTGCTGAAGACTGGAACCTGTGACCAGCTAGAATAATTTAGTTGCAAAAACACGGCAAACGTTTATTAAACAGCCTTCTCCACAGAAGGCGTTAAGTGTTGGGAGGGTAATGAAGTTGTTCCCGGCTTACTTGCGACGTGTTTGTCAGAATTTTGAACAAAAAAAAGAAATGGTTTTTAAAACCTTCGAATATGGCCAGTTTGCAGTGTTTATTGAGAAAGCTGCTGTCAGACCATTAATTTGGTCGTCATAAGGAACACAACTCAAGTTTAATTGATGCCGTATCCAGAAAGTACGCGCACGGCTGACTTGGCAGTGGGACCGCGCGTCGGAGCGCCTGCAGGGGAACGCGTAATTACACGTGTTGGGGAGCCAGAGCGACCCAGGCTCCGAAGCCAGGCTCCGTAAAGAGCAGTTCCGGGGCTCTTGCCTTCCCCAGCTTCTCCCTCTTAGGCCATGTTCTCAGAGGGAAGATTTATTGCTCTGCCCCTGTGAGTGTTAAAGAATCTGGAACTTAATGACTAAATAGATACACACCTTTAAAAAAAAACTGGACATATAAATATGGACTCTTACAAGAGTTAGTGGAGAAAATCTGGGTATCAGAGGCCCTGAGAAATTCAGAATAAATTCTGCCTTTCTAGATTTTTTTCTTAAAAGGCATATGCTGCCATTATTATTCAAATCAATGATTCCTCAGCCTGGGTTTGCCACTCCTCAGGATATCTTTTGCTATTTTGAAGGATATCACAAACCTCTAAAAGATGAATTAATTTTAATTCATTGTAACTGAACAAAGATGTTTATGGCACATAACAGAGGGAAATGTTTCCGTATCAGAATCGACGTGGTTAAATGGTCGTAGAGAAATAACTCTCCATCATTACACAGGTCTAGACACAGGCTTTGAGTGCAGTGGCCTCCCTTTTTAAGTGCTGGCCTCAAGTTCCAAGACTGAAACAAAGGCGAGGACTTTTCTGTGAAACTGGCACCCATCAGAGACGCTCGGCCGTATTTAAATAAAGTACCAGACCCAGCCCCGCCAGGTCTGGCTTTG